GTTAGGTGTGCAATTAATGAGTTTACCTGTGGCAGAGCTTGTTGGGAGAAACCCACCCAAAATAAACAGTGCACAGCTCACATGGAAGTTGACAGTAAATTTCACCTCTGGTCAATCATTTTGCTGCTTTTTCCAAAATCTTTGTGTGTCCAACAAAAAAAATTTGTTGTACTATGCATTGGATTTTTGTTTTAGTTCACAAGACACAAAAACACAATCGTAAAACATACATAATTAAACCAATCAATAATTCCTGGGTTTAAAAAGACAGAAGACGCCAGCAAAGCAGCTTTCAAAACCAATGTAATAGTTAACAACTATCAGAAAGTTGAAGTTTGAAGAAATTTGAGGTAAGATTAAACAATCTGTCATGCTCTCAAGAATAAAAAAATTTAAACTCCAAACATTACCCCATCTAACAACCAATACCTAGTGTTACAATGCTTAGTGTCAAAAACGTGTTCTAGGAATTCACTATCCCGAGGATTATGAAGGACCAGACAGGTTGTCAAAGATAAAAGATAGAACCTTGAGGCAAGATAAGCTATTGGAAAGGACAGCTGAAAGATTTAAAAAGTTAATATTATTGTTGTCACAGTTTTTTTTATAAGTAACAAGAATGAAGTAAACTACTCAATACAGTCAGCAAGACAAGGATTATTATTGACGACAGAGACACTAATGTAATCTGTCCAGAGTGGAACACTTCAGCATCAGCATCTCAAGTTAATGTCAATAACATCATACAAGATTTATAGTGTTCTGGATATCAAACTTAATCCAATGATTTTAATCAGTTACATGCTTGGTCTACTTTTTATAAATAGACAATCATAATTATTGTTCTCATTTGATAGTGATAGTATATACGGATATTTTTTTAATGTACATATAACCTCAGTTTACATTAGGCCTACTTTAGATTAAATGTGACTCATTCAACACACACAGGTGGATCAGATCATTTTAAGGTCAAGATGAGGATTGAGTGAATGATACCCTCAGTTCTTTCTTCAGCCAAGACCAAATATGATAAGCCTAATGATCGAACACTTAAATACAGTTTCAAAACCAACAAAAAGTTAGCGACTTCTCAGGATCAAACCGACATCCCTCTGAATACCAGGCGAGCACTACGTCCACCCAGCCATGCTTCATGAATTATTTTTTAGTAAATCTTAAATTTTAATGTTATTCAAAAGGCAAAGTAGATATTAAAAAAATGTTATAAACAGTTGTTTTCCTAAGTGATATATTTAAACCGCAATTTGTTTTCTGAAGTAATTTACATAAAAATAAGAACCACCCAACAAGTTATAACTGCTGTCAAATAATTTGCGTAATAAGATAAAAAAATTGGTTCACCATTTCGAACATCCGTCTGGTAATGACAATAATTCAACTCAACTGCAGATGCTCAAAGGCAATGAAATCGTCTGGTTAGAGGAACATTAATCCAAAAACAACGAGGTATTGTGATATTCCCAGAACCGAGGGAATAATTCCAACGAACGTCGTGTTCTCTAAGGTTAAGTAGTTTGGCCGCAACATTGGTCGTGGATGTCACAGTGCTGTTGGCAACGCAGATCTCATCAATCACTTGCATCTGTACACATTCGGACAGTCCATTCGTCAATGTATTTTGGTGTATAAGCTAAAAATAATCATGTAAAAACAACTTTTCAACTGTATCCCACCAAAAAGATCAATTTTGTAACACAATTTGTAAATTATTTTCTAATGTTCTATTTCTATTTGTAGTTTTGAAAACGTTTGTAGTTGGGAAGACGTTTGTAGTTTGGAAACCATTACAGTAGTAGTTTTGTAGCTCGTCTGCTTCAGAAATTTTCATAAAATCAGGGTTTTTAATGGGATCTTACTAAATTTTCAATGATATTTTACGTGTAAAGTGTAAGAAATTTAAATTATTAGGTTTTTAATGGGACCTTATTCAATTTTCAATGATATTTTACGTGCAAAGTGTAAGAAAATTAAATTTTTAGGTTTTAATGGGACCTTACTCAATTTTCAATGATATTTTATGTGTAAAGTGTAAGAAAATTAAATTATTAGGTTTTTAATGGGACCTTACTCAATTTTCAATATTTTATGTGTAAAATGTAAGAAAATTAAATTATTAGGTTTTTAATGGGACCTTACTCAATTTTCAATATTTTATGTGTAAAATGTAAGAAAATTAAATTATTAGGTTTTTAATTGGGCCTTACTCAATTTTCAATAATATTTTATGTGTAAAGTGTAAGAAAATTAAATTAGGCAGTATTCATGCTACAGCGTGTAGTTTTATGACATTTACCTGTGTCACAGCAAAGTACAATGAAATACATATTTACTTAACACCAGAACCTGTCAGATGACATACGGCATTGGTTTATTAAAGGTGTACACATCACAGTTCACCATAAAATGAAATTACTGTAGCTAACACCACAACTCTCGGCTATCAAACATATAACTTTAAATAGATATGCAAAATTTGTCTAGTGGTTTAGCCTTTATTGCTTTATTGGGTTTCGACTTAAATTTAATCGGACCCATTAATCAAGTGACTCTTAATTGAGAGGGTTCTCAAATACAGTAAAGGTTCTCTTTCTTGTGAAACCTAAGGACCCTTGGGAGGCTAACGGTGTACTTCCAACTACAGGACCACAACTAAACACACATAAAATTGGTGACTGACGGGATTTGAACCCAGGCATTTGTATTAGACTCATCTTTTTAAGCCTAAATCAGTGAATCATGAGTTTAAAATTTAGCACCTACGTTTAAAAAAATACTTTTGTAATTTGCCTTTTCCTAAACATAAAACATAGAACTTCTTTTAATTGATTTTATAATTTATATTCTGATAGTTTAGTGAAAAAACTCCTTTCTGCAGCTTTCTAAAAATAGTCAGAATGTTTTAATCTGCACTAATTATTTAATGTCAATTTCATAGTGTGACAAATATTTTTCAGTCCCACGGTTATAGTATGAGGTTTTAAAACGCCATGAAGTGGTCAGAGATGAATGCGGTCAATTTGACCAAATCTCTTTAGTCTAGACAGATGGCCACCTGACTTACTTGCTCTGTTACTGGGAGCAAATCTGTGCCAGTGAGAGGGACACAATCACAGAAAATAAAATGATGATTTCTTTGAATTAAAAAATGTGATTTTTAATAGAGATCATAGATTCTTTTTAACAAGCAGATGGATTTCTCGATTTCATATAAATAATAATGTAAGATTAAAAGATAGTTAACATTTTATTACTATTCAAATTGTGTTTTAAAAGCTGTTTTGTTTTATTATTTTAAAACCAAACATAATATATGCAAATTAAAGAGGTATTTTAATTCATTACAAAATGGATTGATTATAAGGGTGTGCAAGTGCTACTTTGATTATATCTTCGATTAACTACAGATGAAGATGACACCAACGAGCAAGTCAAGATTTAAATAAACTGTGTAATTTTGCAAGTAGGAAAAACCATTTACACCAATATTGTGCTGTCTTTCATTGCATATTAGATAATTTCTTGTATTTATGTATGTTAAAAATAGTAGATTAAATCATTCAAATAAATGTGTAGTTAAAATGTTTTTGAAAACTCATATAAAATAGCAAGTTGGTTATAGCTAGAGTAGCACTTTTTGAAGAAAACAATATTAATGAACAAAGATTGGACGTGATTTTTCAAAAACACACTCTGCCAATCGTTCAGAATTCAACTTACGTATATGAATAACTCATCATTATTCATAACTTATAATTATTATTGGGGGAGCGAGCTAGTCTAGTGGTTAGAGCGCAGGACTTCGGTTCCAGAGGTCCCGTGTTCAAATCCGGCCAAATCAACATTTGATTTTATCCATGTGATAATGCCGCAACCCCTAGGTCTAACCTGAAGTAATGTGAAAAACAACTCCAGGCTCGTGCCTAGCGTTCTATGAAAAAAAACTTTCTATTATTATTATTATATAGGTTAAACTGTGAGAAAGGCCCATGAGGTCCTAAGTTCGCCTCAGTAAAGAAGAATTTTGATTTCATTCAATTTAATTTCAATAGCTGCAAAATAGGTATAAGTAAATTATTTCAAAAATACAAAATAATTTAATGTTGTCTGTAATTTATTAAAGTTCCTCCAGTTTGTATAAGTATTCTTCTTTTATTAAATACTAATACTCATATCTTTTAATACCTTTACACTATAATGAAATTGCCATCAAGGCTCTAAAAAATAATTTTCTGAAGTATGTATTCAAACGCAGTATTATCAAAATTAAATGAGAGTACTATTAAACCTACTGTTATTAAATAATCTAAAATAATTATAACCTGATAAAACAAAATAATGACACAGAAAAACATAAGAAATATTTTGCTTTGCATGGTGAACATTACAAAATAGGGTATTTGCATCCACTTGAAGTAAGGTTGACAAAAATTCTTTTGCAACAAGCATTAGGTTCATTCCCTTGAGGAAGAGAGGGCATGAAATATTTTCATAAAATATCTGCCGAAGCTTTCCCTTCAAACTCTCCTCTTGTGAAATGTAAATAGAAAATAACTTTGCAACTCTATCCACAGATAGGTGGGAAAATTAATTCTTTAGAAGTATGTTTAGTTACACACATCAACAGGCTTATCAGCTATCTGTACTAATGCCTTCTTGAAATTATTTCTTCAAAGAGTTTCAATGTAATCTTAACACAGTGCTGTCAGTGCCTAAGCACTAAAAATACATTGCACTGTTGTAACATTATTGTTAGCTGCATTTTACTTATTCGGCCTACTATACTAGTGACTAAAGTTTTTTATTTGGGTATAGTAGTATTCCGTATAATAATTACATCTGCATTCACTTAAGAAATTATGAAAAAAATATTATAAAATTACATGTTTGACACTACACTAAACTTTGCTATATTTTAGTATTACAGACACTATTTTTTTTTTTCAGGTGTTGGTTTTAACAGATTTTTAAATACTCACCAACTCAAAAAACTCCATCAGTCCCGTTTCCTGTAAAAACGAAAGTCATTAAAAATGTGCATCAACTGTAGAGCAAAACTAATGAGCACAGCAGGCTGATATTGATTTAATTCAACAAAATGAGGGTCGTTTTATCAGATTATAATTTTGAATTTTATCAAGTAATTTGAACTTTTGTTAAAGCTGATCAAACCGATATCCTTTTTCCATCAGTTATCCTAGCGACAATTCAATCTAAGTATTTTAATCAAAATTACTGCTTTTTCATCAGTGGGTCCATAAATGTGTTATTTTTTTGTTATCAATATTATTTCTGTGACATTAGATTATTACGTCTTAAATTAATAGTATAGGTTATTTGAGCAATGTGGGTAAATAAAACCACACAACAAAAATAATTCTATACCCAGGCCTAATTTAATTTAACAAATTATTTTATACACATTATTTTAATACCCCCGCCGCAGCAAACCTGCAGACTTAGCGAATTTCCATTTGCCTGATTGGATTTAAACTAAAATTTCTCCTTAAAAATATCAGATTTATTCCCTATTTAAACAGAATTAGTTTAATGAGTACTTAGGTTTGCTGCAACAGGGAGGGTAAAAAAGTTTTTTATTTATGTAAAATGTTAAAAGGTACTGTGGTTTAGTAAGAAATTAATGTATTTTCTAAATTTGATTAAAATATGTTCATAAACAAGCAAACTACAACAGTTGACTTATCCTCCATAAGAATAACATGGGAATTTTAAAATTAAAATTTTTTTGAATTTTCTCCGTAACAATTAGGCACATAATAACGCTTCAATATACTAAATTATTTGTTTTTTTAAGCTCTACAAAATGGTTTGGAAAGAAATTGCTAAATTTTATGTTTTTTGGGTCAAAAATGGGAAAAACCTATTTTTACCCCATAAAACCCCCGTTCCCTTAGTCCGATCATGCTGGTTCGCGAACTCATTCAAGTTTATTCCGCCTTACACCTTCAAACCAAATTTTATCAAAATCGGACAAAATTTACTCAAGTTATCGGATGGACACACACATAATATATATATATATTGAATAAATATATCGTTCACTATTGAGGGCTACTATCTATCTATATATTAATAGGCAAGCATGTTTCTTTAAAACCTTTTTTCTCAGCTCGTGAGCATCGCAGGAAAAATCTATGCATACTGTTGGAAAGATATTTACCTGTAGATGTGCAGAATCCCTTTATAAATTAAAATAGGCTCAAAAATAAGCACAAAAAATGAATTTAAATTTTGAAAAAATTAACATGGATCAAATGGGTTGCCTTGCTGGTTACGAAATAACAACGAAATATAAACAGAAAATCAAAACAAATGGAAGAAACTCCAATCACATGTTTTATTCACAGTGTGGGATGAAAATAAAGAAGACTGTACATTAAATATTTTTGGTCGAGTTTCGACCACTGGACGACCTCTAGTTATTATTAATAAATTAAATAAATAATTAAACATTTAGAACCCTTTTTTCAAGTTATTAATTATATTGAATAAACTTACATGTTTCGGCTCTTAGGCCATGATCACAGTTATGAACAAATAGTAAATAAATAGAAATGTAAATAATAAATAAGTAAATTATCATATGATTTTGGAATTTTATTCATTAAAGAAGAATTCCACATATATAGAAACCATAAAAAAGATCCTGAAAACATACTCAATACAATGCAAATTCAAAAAGAAAACATAATATATGAAAAAATCTTATATAATAAATCAAAAGAAAACAACACCTAAGCCAACCTATATACTAGACAAAATTCCAAAATCATATTATAATTTTCTTATTTATTATTTACATTTCTATTTATTTACTATTTGTTCATAACTGTGATCATGGCCTAAGAGCCGAAACATGTAAGTTTATTCAATAAATTAATAACTTAAAAAAAGGGTACTAAATGTTTAATTATTTATTTAATTTATTAATATATATATATATATATATATATATATATATATATATATATATATAAATTTGAACGAATGGTGTTTTTGGCCTCTGGGGACATCAAAATGAAAAAGTAAATCGGTCCCGGGCCTAGTTCTTACTATGATACCTACGGTAATAGCTACTTCCCTATAGGGAAATTCGCTAATAAAAGCTGTGCATGTTTTTAGTAGCAACTAAAATATGAACTTGTGTTTAAAATGCACAATTTTGTTAAAGAATATCAACAGAAAGTTAGTTTTAATTTAATAGTGTACTGTATCGTATCTTAGAATTTTATTTTAATTACAGTATTGACTTTGAACTTGGTATTGATCATTTGTAGCGATCATATTGACCATATTGACTTTGTCTATTACATTGTACCATATTATTTTTAAAGACAATAAAGATTCTGATTTCTGATTTCTGAATGACAGAAGCTATAAGTGGTATTTTATATCATAAGCAATGAAAACTATACAACTTTATATTGTATCATATTACTACATGAAAAAGGATATTAAGGGATTTACCGGTTTTACGTTCTACTTTAACTGCAAGAGATAATTCATTATTTATAAACAGAAATGAGGAAACAATATTAGAAAAGTGCTGATAAAAAATAAATAAATAAATAAATAGGGTGACAGTGCAATGCTTTTTATGTATTCAGACATTGCTAGCTTGAAATTATATTTCTAAATCATGAATTTGTTATGAATTATAACGCTAATCAACTGATAATTTAAAAATTTTATTGAGACAAAGTAAGTTGATAAAAATAGTTATGCATCAATTAAAGTAATTGTTAAAACAATGGCACAACTGTTTGTAAAAAAACTAAGTTACCCAGTATTAAAAAAAAAATAGGTTAAGTGCAATAATATTAAAACGAAAGTTTGTTTTTTTATTTCACGATTCTGAATCAACCACTCGACGGATTTTCATGATTTTTGTGTTGAAAGAAAGATAATTTTGAGAACTAGGGAATGTCGAAGCCATAATTTTAGTTTAGGGTCCCAGCTTACATAAATCTACAAGCTGCCTTGACTGAACTCCAGTATTGGCTTAAAAAGTGGAGGATAAAAGTCAACGAAAACAAGTCCAAACTTATTGTTTTTACTCTGAGAACAGGGTAGTGTAAAATATTTAGGTCTAACTCTTGACAAAAAATTAAATTGGAAATCTCATATCTGGTGCAAGTGACAGTAAATGGAATTAAAACTTCGTAAACTCAATTGGCTACTAGGTACGAATTCAAAATTATCATTGGCTAACAAAATTTTACTGTATAAAGTTATGATCAAACCAATTTGGACATACAGAATTCAACTTTGGGGGACCTCGAGCAAATCCAACATCGAAATTCTTGAACGATTTCAGGCTAAGGTACTGAGAAGAATTATTGGCGCACCCTGGTTCGTATCCAACACTACAATTAGGAATGACTTCAAAATTAAATCAGTGAAAGAAGAAATTACAGACCTTAGCAAAAATTATCAAGAAAAATTAGAATATCATCCGAACAGTCTTGCTGTTAATCTGCTGGACAATAGTCAGTGCATTACCAGGTTAAAAAGTGTTGTGCATGTGCTGGACTCAAACTCCTGACGTAACTCAAACAGGTCCACTGTTTTCCTCCTTTCAAAGCACAGACGAGAAGGAAGTTAAAATGATTATAAACAAACTTAAAGCAAAAAACTCGTCTGGAATTGATGAAATCTCGTCAAAAATACTTAAGCATTGCTGCAATGAACTAGCACTACCATTGGCTGATTTGATAAATAAGTCCCTAAAACAAGGCATCTTTCCTTCACTACTTAAAATAACTAAAGTATACCCGAAATTTAAAAAAGGTAGCACATTAGAAGCAAGCAACTACAGACCAATTTCCCTCGTTTCCACCTTCTCCAAAATATACGAAAAAGTTGTTTTAAAAAGACTTTTAGACCACTGCACAAATCACAACCTACTAAACAACCTTCAACATGGATTTACAAAAGGGAAATCCACAACAACAGCAATAATTCAGATGGTTGAGTCCCTGATTGACAGCCTAGATGAAGGAAATCTAACAACAGGAATCTTTCTTGATTTCAGTAAGACATTTGACTGCCTTGACCACCAGCTAATCATTAAAAAGCTGGATTCCCTGGGGGTATCAGGGATAGTAAGAGAATGGTTTCAAAGCTACCTTACAGACAGGAGTCAGTTTGTAGAACTAAGGCACAGAGATAACAGCCTAATAAGAAAAACAAGATCAAATTTTCAACCAATAAATCGAGGAGTTCCCCAAGGTTCAGTTATGGGTCCGGTACTGTTTATTCTTTTTACCAACGATTTGCCGCAACAAATAGGAGACGCCTGCCTTACTCTTATGTATGCTGATGACACAACCTTAGTGTTTAATGAACCACTAGCTGAAAATCTAGAAGTAAAATCCTATGTGTCACTCAGTATGGCCTACCAATACTGCTATAACAATGATCTCGCAGTAAACACGTCTAAAACAACTCAAATAGCTTTTGGCCGTAAATCTCAAGAAGTGCCACGACTCCCAGATGTAGAAGTGGAAGATGAAGCTAAGTTTTTGGGCATCACACTCGACAAGAATTTAACCTGGACCCCTCATGTGGACAATATATGTAAAAAATTAAGTTCAACCATCTATGCTCTTAAACATATAAAAAATGCAACAGATGACATGACAACAAAAGTAGCATACTTTGCACTTTTCGAGTCGCATATGAGATATGGACTTGTAGCATGGGGTGGAACCTCTGCCACTAACATGCAAAGAGTTCTCAGAAAACAAAAAAAGGCAGTCAGAATAACTGCAGGACTCCACAGACTCGACAGCTGCAGGGAAGCATTCAGGTCACTCAAAGTACTTACCCTTGTAGCACTCTACATCCAGGAAGTTGTGTTATTTGCAGTAAGAAATAACCCTACAAGGCGTGGCGAAATGCACCAACACAACCTGAGAAACACCATGCAGTACAACCTTCCACAACATCGCACGACACAGTTTGAAAAGAAACCTTCATACGCAGG